TAGGCACATTTTTTGGGACATCCTGTATCCTTTAGGGCTCAAAAATGTTTTGCAGAGATTGGCAGTGTATACTACGCTACGGTATGCATTTTATTTTACTTGGTCGCTTTCACTAAAAATGCTCCAATCGTAGGATTGAATAAAGTGGTAATCTCTACTCTTCCAATTTCTACTCTGATTACTACTTCCTTACTCCTTGCAGGAACAAAATTAGGCCAAAAACGAACTGATTTGTAGTGGATTGGAAATCCGCAGAGAAATTTCCAAGACCTATAAGATCTCTTCTGCATTTTCACCACTACACACCTCACTGGGCAATCAACGAGCATGCCCATGATTAGTGATATCCTGCTAATACCTAGTCTGTTCTTTTCCTTGAGAAGAATTTTTTTTTGTGACAGGATCATAATCTTATACATGGAGTTTAGTTTTCAAAATTTCTGTGAGAGAAGAAGGCTACTGTCTTTCTGAAGAAAGAAGATGTCTCTTTACTGACGTAACTGTTGGAGTTTTCAACTTATCTTAGCTTACGCTAAATTATGGTACTCACCATCAGCCTCTGAAAGAAAGGTGTACGATTAGGTCGTTGAACGCTAGAGAAGGATCCTATCTTTATACATTGGAGAACTTTCGAAAAATTGAAGAAGTCAAAAACTTTATTTCTACTACTCAAAACACAATAAATGCGGCAACACGATAATGGACATCTTGCTTCTGAAGTATCTGGACGAATCTTGCAACATCTGAGAACATGCTTGCAATTTGACTATTCAGCTGTGGTCCACGAGACAATTCGAGTCATATTCGGTAAGATCCAAAATCGAAGCGAACAGCAACATGTTAACAAGATTGCAGTCGATGTGGCTACACGGCGGGAATCTGTTCGCCACCGGCATTTTTTGTAAGTGGGAAGCATTAAGAATTTCTACGAAACATAAACGACGACCCGTTTCGTGTTGAATAAACTCTACCAAAGAGCACAACGCTTGGTGGGATTCATGGCACTGCCCACTTCACAGTGAAAAGCATCAGCGAATTCGTGATGATTTGCCAGCACTTGATTGACGCTGAAGAGGTTATTATATTCGAAATGGTGAAATGGCGCATATTACTGGCTCTACTCACCGGTACCGATCCGGGGCATGCTCATCGGTGAGAATGTAGTAGATCATCGAGGAATTCGTATCATGCGCGCACAATATCTCAAACGTGACCATTGCCTATCTTTTCTTTCGTGTTTCATAAAGCGTTACCGTAGCATAGCCCAAGAAAAACATCT